TAAAAGTTTGATATTGGTAATTTCAAAATAAAAAAATATTTGAAAAGAAGTTGGTCGGGGGTGTGTCAAATATAATTCCATATCATATAATAGTATTTTTTTATTTTCCAACATTTTGACCTAGGTTGTAAGTCTTCTTCAGGGTGTTCCATCTGGCACTGCAAGAAGCGGCTGTGAGCCTTAAACTACAGTTTTAGCAGTTTAGAGACCAACTGCTTCCGCCAGTAACTGATGGAACGTCCTGAAGAAGACCTACAACGTTGGTCAAAACGGAAAATAAGAAAATTATATTATATGATATAGACCTACAATGTAGGTCAAAATGTTGGAAATTAAAGAAATATAATTATATATTGACCACACCTCAACGAACTTATTCTCAAAAATTTATGGAGCAGGAACTATTCTGTATTCAATGCTGGAACGCCATCTAAACATTCTGATTATATTCATTTATGTATATTTCTAAAACTATAAATGCAGTTTCTTACATTTTGGCTCATAAATAATCTATAAGCCTATATATATGAACCTATTTATCATTAGAGCCTGTGTTAAGGTTAGTCAGTGTTTAAGGAAGCCGCATTCAGAATAGGCAAGGATAATAAATGTATTTATGTATAATCATGGGCATTTTTATTTATTTTAGAACATATTGTATTTATACAGCCTTTGATATTAATAATGTCATAATATAATTAAATATTAATTAATACCAAAGATGTCATTTTATAAATGGCACACAAAAACTAACAGTAGCCACACTTAATTCAACGTTTCCCACCTATTCTCCGAATTCATTTTCACTTTTTTTTTAATTTCATATTGATCAAGTTTCATTTGTATTAAAAAACTATAATTATATAAGTATAAATTAGTTTTACCATAAATCATCCATTTATGATGGGAATAGGCTTAGTAGACCGCATTCGATTTTTTGCGAAGTGAATCCTAAAAACTATCAAGAATTTAATCACTATGAAGACAATGTTTCAATTTTAGACCAGTTTTATTTAATCTTAGTTCATAGTTTTAGATTTAGGAGATAACAAAGATTATAAATAATATTTTATTTCATTATTTATGTAATAAAAAAAGTTTATGAACATATTGCTGTTTTACAAAATTCTGATATATTTTCTTATTATAGAACATCAACAACATATCATGTAAACTAGGGTATTTATGCTGTTATATTATCAATATTATCGTACTCAGTCAGCACTTGGAGCTGGAGTAACGATTTTTATCTTATTTTTGCACTTTGGATTGTGGGTGCGTACTGTCTTGGTAATATATCTGAATTTTATGGTTGATGGATTTTGTAAAAAGCTAGAGAAGATTTCTTGTGTATGTAAATTATACTGCTATTCTTCAATTGGATGCCATATTTATGAAGCAGCTTCGTTTTTTTTTTTTTTTTTCTTCACTTTTTTTCATCTTATAGGATTTAGTAATTCTAGGTAAGATCACTATTTTATTTTTATGAAGTATAAATATTTATAAATTTAAACGTTTGTGATAATTTTTTTTTTTTGTTTTTTTTTTAGGATTTGGATCATTTATATCAAAATTTTCAAGCTCGGAATGATGCCAAGAATTTTTTTAGTCAAATTGGCAGTCCCTTAAAATTTTTTCTTCTTCTTTCATTACTAGTGATGATAATTGCTTTTGTTGCTGCTCAAACTAAGCGCTATCCATATAATAATAATAATAATCAAGGATCAGCAGTTCATGCATATGGGTGGAATTAAATATAGTTATTGTTTATTTCTTTATACTTTCTATTTTTATGTATTCCTTATTTATTTTTGTAATTTTATCCTAATTTTTATTGTCTTGTTATGGTTATTTTAATAAATTCATCTTTAATTATTTTATAAGTCTGTTTATTATACCTTGTTCACATTAGGAAAATCAATTAAAATTTGAAATTTGTGAATGAAATTATTGTGTTTAGTGTACTAAATCCCACTACGCTGTCAAGCTTCTAATATTTTTATATTAATATTCTAATATTTTTTTTTTTTTTCAGTAGCCTGTAGTAAGTGAATCTGATAATTCCTTATTTATTATTCTTTGAGATTCTACATACTAATTATGGTTTTGTAGTACTTATCATATGGTTTTCATTAACCTATGAGTTCAATTACATTTGTTTAATTTTTTTGCAATTTTATTTTTATTTAGATAGTTTAAAAGAATTATAGTGTTGGCAAATACAATAGTTTTCGTATCCATCACCATCACTATCTGTAATGTACTATTAACCAATATTTAGATCATTAATATTGCTCACTGATAAAAGTACATTCATGATAAATAATTACTATTCTAATGTATTTAATAACTTATATGTTTTAATATGAATAATTGAAGAATTGAAACTTTTCGCTTTAAGTCGATTAACTCTTGATTTTAGATTATATATACATATATATATATATATATATATATATATATATATATATATATATATATATATAATTTAGTTGCTGAATTATTAAAACATATTCAAGCAATACTTGTAATGATTGTGGGTAAACGTTTGAGGTGCTTTGTTTTTTATAAGAGTGCTTGTTAACCTAGTGGGTAGAACTTTGTTATTCTAATTACAGGATTTTTTTATTGATTCTAGTTTAAATATTAACTTATAACCAAGATTTTTTCTTGAAAAAGATTGGTGAATGGGAGAGGTTTAATCTCATTCAGTCATCTATTGCAATGATTAATGTTTTTAAGTTAAAGGAAGTATATTGAATGAATACTGTGGCTTAAAATCTCTTTGAATCAGGAGGGGAGGTTACAGTTACATATTAAATAATTTGTTGATAATTACAAAAGGTTTAGCGTATTCTTTTTTTCTTTTTTTTTTTTTTTTTTTTTTGGTACACAAAATATAAGGTATTATATTATATATCATAACTTTGACTTCATATTTTGGGGTGGCCGAGCGTGCTGTGCAATTTGAACATATAACTATTATTATCTGTTCCTCTTTACCACATGGCAATGTTCCTGCTTACACAGCCACTTCCATGCATCCCTATTCTCCACCTATCTTCTCTCTTCCCAGCTCAAGTCTCTCTTATGGAAAGCTTCCTCATTCGATCGATACACTGCTCGCATATAATTTTGGTTCTAGCTTTAGTCCATGTCCCTTGTAATGAGACAATTATCAATTCTAAGGCATTCTAAGGAGATGGCCAAACCTGTCAGGATTCCCATATTACAATTTGAATCTGAATCTCACAGAGACCAGATTATATTTCAATGCTGCTAATCTTTCTACATTTAGTTCTACCTTCTAATTTTATCAGAAACCATATTTCCAGTACCAGGATTCAGAAGAAAAATGTAAATATGGTGCTAAAGGTTAACTTTGATATCCTTAATTACCTCTATTCTGTTAAGGAAGCGTGAATTTCCTTCACAAATTTCAGAGTTATAGCCAGATTCATTTAAATGATAAATGAAACACATATAATTATTTATGCACATATTTGTTTAATAAGAACTATTATGGCTGAAATATAACAGCTTTCTTTTGACTGTTAATTTTTTTTTATATTTAAGATGATGTCTATACTTTGAAATAGAACATTGTCTATTCAGCTCTAAAATGAGTAACTGGCAGTCAGGAAATATATTCAGTGATTAAACAATATTGTGAACCACGCTCAGAAATATTTTTTATTTTAATGAAATTTACAACTATATTACATGAAAAGTACAAGTAAATGTGACATCGGTAACATGACATGTACAACATGAAGAGAAACTACCCATTGGTAGAACTCAATCTCAGAAATGTAAATTTTAAAAAATCTGAGCCTTTTGTTCTAATGCTGTTATGGGTCTGAATGTTGTTGTTTTTTTCTTGGATCAAATAATAATATAATTTTAATAATAAACAGAAAATTTTGTTATTATTTGAAGGAAAAAAAAACTTTTGTAAATTATAATTCATCTATTTAATTTAGTTTTCAGTATTTTTTCCAATTTGTCTCGTGTTAATAACGGCTAATTTGTATGGAATATTTCTATGATACTATTACAAAGGGGCTAATTTTTTATTTCTTTTTTTTCTACAATTTGGAAAAATACCAAATTTTCAAACTATGTAAGTATTATGTTCATCACCAAAAATAATTTGTCAACTAATAAATTGTAATAATTTATCATATACAATGGTATATAAATAAATTTATTACATACAGAAGTTCAGAAAATATAAATTTTTGGCTTTGTTGTTCAATTTTTATTTTTATTTAATCGATAATCAATTTTTTTTTTCTTTTGTTAATTGTACATTAAATTTATTTGATGAAACTTTCCTTAGAAATCATAACTATACCCACTTAATCGTAATTATTAAATAGTAAATAATCCTTTTTTTTTTCTTATAAATAATAGCAGTTTTAGGATACCCTTCATTTTTGGCCAGATACTAGCGTAGTATTTCCTTTAACATATTTTAAATTTCTAATTTTTCTTTCTCCTTTCTATTTCATGACTTTTCTAGTTAATTTTATGACATATAGATTGATTTAGCCAGAAAATCTTGTGTAATTTTTTTGAAAATGAAAACTCAATATTCATATCAAATATTCATTTGAAGGTAGGTGAATTTCTATCAATGGTTTATCTATCCATTCAGTACTACATATATACAATTTATCTTTTTCTTTCCTTCAAACACTTTTATTGTTCTCTTTCTCTCTCTCTCTCTCTCTCTCTCTCTCTATATATATATATATATATATATATATATATATATATATATATATAAAGTGAAAACATCTTAAAAAATCATTATAAGTTTTCATGACTCGACTTTGACTTTGAATTAAATGTTAGTTAAAAAAATATATATATATTCCAATGGTTTTCATGAAGGTTCTTGTACTATTTTTGATCAAGATTTTTGTAATTTTAGCTAATGTTATAGATCTTTAGAATCTATTAGTGATGAAAGTCTCATTGTTTTCTCTTTTTAGGATATGGAGGAACTCTACACTCAATTCAGAATGCATAATGAAAGCAAAAATATATTTAAAGCTGCAAAAACTCCAGCAGTTTTTTTTGCTCTAGCTGTAGCATTTTATATCCTCTCAGGTGTTTTTGGATTAGTAGGAATGTACAGCATTGCTAATCTGGCAAATTTAGTAATGGGTATTTCTCTAGTTACTCTCATTACATGGTCTTATGTCAGGTAAGTTTTTATATATTTTTTCAACATATACACTAACTGTGCACAATGCTAATTTAGTGAAAGTATAAAGTATATTCTAGTTACTGATTCATGTTCAGTATATGGTCATTTCTTGAAATTTATTATTAAAGAGTTAGATTAATTTTGGTGAACGGTGAGTAGTGAAATATTTAAAAGAGTTCATATCTGGAAAAGCTGTTTTACCTTAGCCAATCAAGTGTTAGACTTACTTTTTTCCCCCACTCTACTTTAAGAATTTACTCGCAGATTTTTTTCATGTGTACATGAAAATTTGTTGGAGGTAAATATTTAAAATATTTCCAGGTGACCCAATATACACCCAGAAATGTTATGCCTGGAATAGGTCATAGTTTCCACACAATACTGATCTACTGTATTGCATATCATTTGTGATGAATAAGGGGCGGATTTGTATAAAATTCATAATTTTTTTAAGAATATGAGGCGATATCTTTACGAAACCATTCTTTCTAAACCTTTTAGGAAACTTCTATGTTTTATATTTTTGGATATTTCACCAAAATTTAATTGTTGGGCCTATTTAAGCTTAGAAAGCATATTTTGATTAATTGAATTTATTTCAGGTATAAAAATTTTTTTAATTAATAAAATTATGTTTTAATTTTTATCTAGATTTATATTAGACAATATTGTAACCATATTTCTAGTTTTTACCAACAACTTTATTTAAATGATAAAATGTTATTTCATCCTAAATAAAGTAAAATTAGTTAGTTCCAAAGACCCAATAACGAATGTAGGCTTCAAAATATTTAAAACCTGTTTATTGTGGAAGGATTAATACGCTAAAGCTACCTGAATCTTCAAGATCTCTTCCCTATATAGGGCTGACTGAATTTTATTTTCCTTAAAGATAAATCTTTTATGTATTAATTATTTACTTATACTTACGTTCTATTTTTATGGTTGCAGATATAGTGGGGAAATGATAGCCATTGGCGAAAAAATAGATGAAGCGGCTATATTGCTTTGGGAAAATGTAAGGAAAAGATTGATTTTTTTTGTTTTTACTTTATTATAGATATTTATTTAAATAATTGTACATATATTAATCTGTACATGTTTTAGTTCTAGATGAAATACTATGTATAACTATTATATATGATCACTTTGTTCTGTCTATTTTTCTACATCAGCTCCACTGTTATGTCACCTTAAGTTACTCTTTGTTCATTGCTTTATTAACCATATAGTTACTCTCAAACAGATCCCTGAATTGGATCTACTTATTTATTGACACAAGTAATAGGATCTAACCACCTAAATTCAATATAAAGGAAAGAGATGGTCTGGGTTGGCGGTCATAAATAGGCTGAATAGTGGCAAAACTATTTTATTAAAAGCCAACGTTTCAACCCGACTTTGCAGGTCTTCTTCAGGGCTAGAACGGACAAGATACAAAAAGATAAAGAATTTTGGAAGTTACATAACATTATGACAACAAATTATAAACAATGTGAATAAGCTTATTAAAATTATAAACAGTAAGTACATTAAAATATAACCAGAGTAAGCTAAGTAACAAGATCCTAAACTGTAGTAAATAGATGGTAACCATTGTTGTAGTGTAATATATAATATATGCAAATGTGAATATACAGATCTACTGGAGAGATTGAAAGAAAAGGAAAAAGAATATAATATAAAATAATAGACATAAAGGAATGTGGAAAAATGAAAAATAAATAAATAAGTAGATAAAATTTGAAGAATAAAAATAAAGACTTACATGTGTGTTCAGCTAGGAGTTTCACTTAAAACTAGTGATGGGGTCATATAGGCGTAGCTGTGATTCTGTCACTGTGACTGGGCCGGAACTGGTGATCACAGTGACAGGCACACCGAAATCACAATGACAGTCACTGTAGGTGTTGTGAAATCACTGTGCTCCAACAGTGACGGTCACTGTAGTCACTGTGAAATCACTGGGCCCCAACAGTGACAGTCACTGTTGGCACTGTGAAATCACTGTACAGAAACTAAGGAATCCCAGAGATATTTTCCCCCATCAAGTATAAAATTTATCACAGGGAAAAAAAAATTTATTTTAATATAATTTTGAACACGTAAACTATGGTTTCACAGTGACACTTTCGCCAAGGAGCCATTTTATACTTATCACAAAAAAAAATTCACTGTGATTTGTCATAGTAATTTTCCCGGAGCTGTCACTGTCCGAGCTGTGATAGAAAATCTCTGTCACACGCCATCACTACTTAGAACTGGAAAATAAGGGTAAGGGCAGGTATTGGGGAATTTGTTGACTTGTTTGGGTAATGGGAAAAAACCTAGAAAATTACAGTATCTAAAATTTGAAGATGTGAATGGATACAAGGGAAAAAATACTATATCTATGAAATATTAAATTATAAATATATACATATACATATAAAATAGAATTAAGAGATTATAGATAAAAGTACAATGTGAATAAAAACATTGAAATAAAATATAAATATAGAAATAAGAGACCATACATTGTAGAACTAACTTAGAAGTATAGAGAGGGGCGAAAAAAAAATATGAATAATTATAATTATATTTGGTTAAACATATGTAAGAAAATTACATTTAAATATTAGATATTGAGATATGGTTAAAATGTAGAATGTAAATATAATTTTATTTTAATTTTATATTTACATTCTAACGCAGAGCAAGATCGAAGTGGCATAGAACCAGATATCCAACAGATAAAACTCATTATACCCAACTGACTAACAAACTAAAATCTGAAATTAAAAAATACAAAATTTACTAAATTTTACTGAAAAACTTACACCTACCGACAAATCACTATGGAGGACCACTAAAAGGCTCCTGAAATTTAAAGACTGTAATCATCCACTTCTTACTGAAGCTCAAACCTGGTCCAAATCCGATGAAGAAAAATCACAAATCTTTGCTCGTCACCTCTTTAAAACCTTTAATCCACACCCCGATATTCTTAACCCAAATCATCTTGAATGTATTGAAGCAGAACTGGATATCCCACTCCAAATGTCTCTTCCACCTAAAGCCTTTCATCCTTCAGAAATATCCGACATCATTCAAAGGTTACCTTCCCGAAAAGCTCCTGGACACGACCTAATTACATCCCAGATCCTAAAACTGCTTCCTCGGAAAGCCATTCTATTCCTTACTTATATATATAATGCTGTACTGCGATCAACATACTTTCCTGACCCTTGGAAATTATCTATTATCAAAATGATACATAAACCCAAAAAGGCACCAGAAAACCCATCCTCCTATCGTCCTATCTCCCTTTTACCCATCCTAGGCAAAATCCTGGAAAAGCTCATTCTAAAACGCCTGTACCCCATCCTAGATTCTAATCACATTATCCCAGATCATCAATTTGGATTCTGCAGATCCCATTCCACTATCTAGCAATGCCATCGTGTGGTGGATGTTGTCTCATCTGCATTGGAGCGCGGAATGTACTGCACGGGAGTCTTTCTCGATGTAGGACAGGCTTTTGATCGAGTCTGGCACCCAGGACTGCTTTACAAACTCCGTAAATTCCTACACCCTACATACTTCCTCATTATCCGTTCCTATCTTACTGATAGATCCTTCAAAGTAATCAGTTAATAACGACCCAACAATTGCATCCCAAACCCTTCAATCACACATCACAAACCTTGAAGAATGGTGTCAAAACTGGAGAATATAAATAAATTCCAATAAATCCCATCAAATCACCTTTACCCTTCGTCGTAAACCTATGTCCTCTTGTCCTACAGTATCCTTTAATAATACCCCACTTATCCCTGTTGAACAAATTCGATACCTTGGACTCCACTTAGACAAACGTCTTAACTTGGAATCCTCATACCAGACTGAAACGACAAGAAACAGCTCGACGTTTCTGACTACTCCAGCACTTACTAGACAAACGCTCTAACCTCTCAGTCAATTACAAAAGACTCATATACATGACTACAATAAGACCTAATTGGACTTACGGAGTTGAGCTCTGGGGCTCCACTAAGCCATCGAATTCCTCTCGTATTCAATCCTTACAATCCAAAATCCTTCGTAAAATCCTCACTGCTCCTTACTTTGTCACAAACAAAATCATCCATAACGACCTTAATGTTCCTTATGTTTCTGACCTGGCCCAATCCAGATACCTATCCTTCCATAACAAACTTCAGAACCATCCAAACCCTCTCGTTTCTAACCTTGTTTCCTCTTCGATCCCTGACAACCCTCAGAGGCGTCTGAAAAGAAGATGGCCTCGAGATCTCCTTTTGTAAATACATTTTTAGAGTGCTACCAATGGGTAGTTTCTCAACATGTGATTTCATGCTATTTTATTCCTTTGTTCACATTTACTGAATGTATTTTTACTTGTAATACAGTTGTAAATAGCATCAATAAATAAAAAAAAAAATATATTTACATTCTACATCAATGTATGACCATCCATTTTCACTTTGTATTCATTTTACTTTTTAATCATATCTCAATATTATCTAATATTTAAATGTAATTTTCTTACATGTGTACCACCAAATATAATAATAATTATTCATATTTTTTCCCCTCTCTATACTTCTAAGTTAGTTCTGCAATGTATGATCTCTTATTTCTATATTTATATTTTATTTCTATGTACATTTTATTTCTTCCATTTTTGTTTTTATTCACATTGTACTCTTATCTATAATCTCTTAATTCTATTTTATATGTATATGTATATATTTATAATTTAATATTTCATAGATATAGTATTTTTTTTCTTGTATCCATCCATATCTTCAAATTTTAGATACTGTAATTTTCTAGATTTTTCCCCATTACCCAAATAAGTGAGCAAATCCTCCAATACCTGCTTTTACCCTTATTTTCTAGTTCTAAGTAAAACTCCTAGCTGAACACACCTGTAAGTCTCTATTTTTATTCTTCTAATTTTATTTACTTATTTTTGTCCACATTCCTTTATGTCTTTTATTTTATATTATATCCATTTTACTTTTCTTTCAATCTCTCCTGTAGATCTGAAGAAGTATATTCACATTTGCATATATTATATATTACATTACAACAATGGTTACCTTCTATTTACTTCAGTTTAGGATCTTGTTTCTTAGCTTATTCTGGTTATATTTTAATGTATTTACTGTTTATAATTTTAATAAGCTTATTCACATTGTTTATAATTTTTTGTCTAAATATTTTGTAACTTCCACTATTCTCTATCTTTTTGTATCTTGTCCGTTCTAGCCCTGAAGAAGACCTGCAAAATCAGGTCAAAACGTTGGCTTTTAATAAAATAGTTTTGCCACTATTCAGCCTATTTATGACTGCCACCCCGGCAGACCATCTCCTTCCTTTATAATGCAATGGTCAACTATTAAATATTCAATAAATTCAATATATATATATATATATATATATATATATATATATATATATATATATATATAATCAATTAGTTTATGGCTCAGCTTAACCTTTTATATTTTCAATAGTTGTAAACATTTTTTTTTTTTTTTTTAAGTAAGGTCTTTGTACACTCACTGTTGATAATCTTTTTACTCACACATGTAGTACCCCATATTTATTTCAAACAACTATGTCTCATAAAATGGTCTGTAAGTGAACAGTATATTTTTGAGCTAATTACATATTTTAGGTAGATATATGCCTGGGATGTTGCAGCAACTTTTCCACTAAAATCGATTTATCAAAAGTGCTACTTTGTATCATTGACTTTACACATTTTTATAATTTTCTCAAAAACTGTTCTAACAATTTTAACTAAACTCATTATACTGATAGAAAAATTAAGTGGTCGTTAAGATCAATCATGTCTTTTTCTCATTTAAATAGTCTTATGGAGCTTTAATGCTGAATTTTCAAAATTTCTTCCTCTGAAGTAATAACTTTAATTTCATTGTTAGTAGTAATGCAAATTCAAGTTTTTCATAGTTAGTAGTTATATAAAGTGGATAAATATTAACTATG